GACAGTACTGAAAGGGATTCTGTTCTGCACTCCAAAAGAGAAGCAGGCAGGATTATCTTGGGTCACATCTTTCTTCTATTAGTCAAATGGTGAAACCAGACATCTGAGTTGTTTCAGTCTGTGACCTTAGCCTGTGCTTCCTGACAGATCTCACAGCTTTTCAGTTGTCCCTAGTTTATATGCAGGATTCTTCAGTCCCCCTGGCAATCTGCATTCTTTCTTGAGCTTTTTCCTGGTATCTTGGGCCCTTGGGAGATCACGGCCTCGCCTTGGTTTCTATGTGGCTGCATAGCGAACCACTCCAGTAATTCACTGCCTTAGTCTGGATCCCTCCGCTGAACAGGCTTAAAGGTATTCATGGCCTTCCCCAATGTTTCGTGATGCTATTCAACCTATACAGTCTTCTTTCAACTTGCATTCCTCCTGGATGCCTCCAGAAGCAGAACAGCAGGCTCCAACATTTCCTGACACTGTGGCCCTTTATAGCAACCAGCAGTTTACACATTTGTCATTCAACTCACAATCTGTTTCACTGTTTCTGGCATCTTACGGTCGCGCTCTCATTCCCTAACACGCTATAGCCTTCTTCAGGCTCAGCAGCTGCTCCAAGAAGGTTCCTAAGGCTGGGGAGCTTTTTGCTGAAAATATTTTTCAGATTCTCCCTTATGCTCTCTAGCAATGAATTTTTATTCTGTTTCATGATATAATACGGTTTTCCTTGGCATATTTCTACTTGCTTCTTCATTTACCTTTATTGGTCGCTGATCTCCAGCAGCGTGTGTTATTCCCCATAAAATCTGGACGCTGTGACTTTATTATTTCAAACATCCTTGTAGCTATACCCAGCAATTGTAGCCCTTCTTGATGTGACTGCATTCAGTAACGTTCCCTTGTGTTAGCTGATTGTCTTTTGTGTCCCCAGCAGTTCTCAGCCTTCTCTGGTTTTCATCGTCATCCTGAGGCTCGCATCGCGTAGCATTGTGAGGCTTTCTCAGACAGCTCTGTCACGATGATGTCTCCTCTGGTTTTCCATATCACCCTGGGACCTCTCACATACATATCTTACTCAACTTCTCTTATGTCCCACAGCACTACGCAGGCTTTTCCTACATGCTCAGCAACTTTCATGGTACTCTGATGTCCCCTGGCTGTTATCTGGCTCTCTTTGATCTTTCCCAGCTGAATCGCGGCACTCTCTTAATATCCCTCTCTATATCCTCTATGACCTTCACAGGCACCTCTGGCTCGCTAATGGTTATTTCCACATCCTTTTTTAAGTTTGACATCATCTACAAACGTTCACAATCATGCAGCCAATAAGGACATTCTGGAAAAGCAGCAGTTCAAGCATTCACTTTGTTTCTCTGACAACATTTTTTAAAAGTAAATGCAGAGCTGTCTTAATGAATTTTGAGGAGATTGTTACAGCATTTGCAGCAATGTATATGAGCAGTCTGAGGCTCTTTTACTAAGTGACTGAAGTAAGGTAAGTATTATACCATGGTGAGCTTGCCCCGTGTGTAAAGACCCTGCAGAGAATAAGACTGGCAATGCTCTTGAAAATTTGATCCACAACAGCAGTGCCTTTGCTTCTCTTTGATAAGATGCCTATCACTGTTCAATGCAAATTCACCTAGTAATATTTGTAAAGTACTTGAAATGCTTGGGTGATGGGTACTGTGGAAGTTTAGACTGTTGCTATTCTTACATTAGACATCTTTACCGATAATGACTAATAAGAAAAATCCTGAGTTGGCTATGATAAAGCAATTTTTACTTGCCTGCTAGCTGGCCTCAAAACCTGTTTGAGGTTTGAAGTTTTCAAATAGAAAAAAGAAACAGATGCTGAAGTTTACGAAGCTGTAGAATTGGCTTCATTCTAATATCACCTCTTGAAAATACACAAGCATGAAAGAATACAAGTTACATTTCTTATAAGCTATTCATGTCGTAGCATCATCATCATCATCAGACTCATCTCAGCTGGTATAACGTAAGCCAGCTGCATCCATTCTACGTGGATATCATTACAGAGTGAATATTTCTTCTTCATAAAAATTCCAGTGCTCAAGCATATTTGTATACTTGACTCTCTCCTTGTCCCCAGTGCTTTGATTGCAGTAAGAATCCTAAAATAAGTAAGTTTGTTCCTGTCATTTGTCTTGTGCAAACATGCACACCCGTTCCTGGTTTCCACTTACAAAGATGATTACAAAAAAATCCCCGTGATATAAATCATACAGTAGTGCATTACAGTTTTATTTAGTTCCTTAGTCAACCATGCTTTTAAGTTATACCCAGCAGTAGATGCCATGTTTAACTGTGCAAGGGCTACATGCTTATG